GCTCTACACCTTGTTATCTCAGATTCTCCAGCATCGGCAGTTCCTACAGACTCTGGAAGCTTCTGTTTTCAAATAAACCTGTTGGATGATAACCTGGTGTTGTGTGATTTCTGACTTGATATGGATGTGTGACTATCGCCACCCAGTGGATGCAGTGTAAAGTCACAGAATTGTTAAGATACAGAAGGAGGCTGTCCAGCCCAAATTGTCTACATCGGCTCTCTAAGCGGGCATCATGACTTTGTGCTATTCTTCTGCCTTTACCTCCAACCCTTTCACATTGTTTCTATTCAAATAATGATCCTAAGTCTTCTTGAATGATTCAATTGAACCTGCCTCTACCACACTTCCAGGCACTGCATTCCAGAGCCAAACCACTCTGTGTAAAAAAGGTTTATTCTTGTATCACTTTTATTTATTTTGCAAATCACTTTAAATCTGTGCCCTTTCATTCACGTTCATTTTATGAGTAGGAATAGTTTCTCCCAATCTAGCCTATCCAGCCCATTCATGATCTTCAAAACTTCTATTGAGTCTCCTTTTAGATTTCCATTAATACCTGCTCCTTCACAAACTGTGGAGTTCCCATGTCACTTTAGGTGTCTGTAGACATTTTGTTCTCTACTACCAATGCAGTTATGATCCAGAATGTTTGTTAGACCTCCCTCCCCCTTATCAGCTGTTGAAACAGATGTGAAGATAATTGGAAGGCTAATGGCTAACCTCTATGCTAATCTCCAGGAAGATTTGTCCCAACCCTTCCAATCTGTCCTCATAACTGAAATTTGTCATCCCTGGAACATTTCACATAAACCTTTTCTGTACTGTCTCCAATGTGTTCAAATCCATCTGTAGTATTGTGCCCACAACTGTACGCAATACTCCAGATGAAGTCTAATAACCATCTTGCCCTTGTACTTTATGTCCCTATTAATAAAGCCTGGAATTCTGTGCGCTTTATTAATTGCTCTCTCAACCTGTCCTGCCACCTTCAATAATTTATGCACACCCATTCCTTCTGCTGCAGCACCCACTTAAGAATTTACCTCTATTTTGAATTGTTTGTCCATGTTTTTCTGACCAAAATGCATCACCTCACAATTCTCTGCATTGAATTTCATTTGCCAGCTATCTGCCCACTCCCCCAACTTGTCTAAATCCTTTTGCAGTGCTACATTGTTCTCATCACAGTTTATTATGTTTCCAAGTTTCTTATCATCTGTGAACGTTCTAATTGTCCCCACCAAGACCTAGATCATTGGTATCCATCAGGACAAGCAAGGTCCCAATACTGACACCTGAGGAATAATAACACAGCTTGCAGCTTTCCTGGGGATCCTAGTACCGACAGTCAGGAACACAGTCTGCTCACTATTTAGGGACCACGAAAAGTCAACCTCTCAGGCCAATCGTGGCCAGGGGATATGTCCGACTGCAGTTTGGAGAATACAGCAATTAGTCAGTGCTGTACAGCCATCACAAGTATCATCTATTCACATGTTAGCAGTCAGGAGTCTGGTCAGTCATGGCCAGGGACAGTTCACCAAAGTCAGCCAGTCAGAGGTCTGGGCCAAGTACTGTAGCGGAGATCCGAGAGCTGAACAGTGAGGAGGGTAGGGTACAAGGTGGGGCAAAGGGTGAAGGTTAGTATTAGGGTGAGGTTGCTAAAAGAATGAAGCTGTCAAGGCTGGTAGTGGAGGGGAAAGCAGAGGCATGTTTTGAGGTGGGGACAAGGGTGATAATGGAAGGAAGCTCAGGTATATGGGGGTACTCAGAACAGTACCAGAGGGCATGGTAAGTGATGGGAGAGGGCAGTGCCTACTACTATGGCCTCCACAGGGAGAGCATAGAGGAGCAAAGTTGACATGATTAATGCATAATGTTGGTGCTCAGGGGTCAAGGGAGAAAGTTGGGGAGAAGTTCAATATGGTGGGCCTCCACAGGGCGAGGGGATGGGTGGAAACGGGCTGCCAGGGTAGTGTAAAGTAAACCACAACATGAAGTCTGCCAGGGTGTACCTGGGTGGGCCCAGTGCTGACAGTGTCAAACATGAACTTCCTATTTTCTAGACACTACCTGCAACTGGGAAAATACCTGAGCAGAGTTTGAGGAAAGAAAGTGTAGGATTCATGTCTACTGGACACAACTCGGATACTGAAGGGGCAAATAAGTGAAACATGTGTTTGCAAATTCCAGCTACATTTCATTTGTAATTGTTTCATGAATCTTTGACAATGCATGCAGAATATATGTGCTTAGAGATTAAATGCTGGTAAAAAAAATTCTGCACCAAGATATAAATGCTGGCAAATGTAACAATGGAATCTCAATTACGCAGGGGTTAGCAGTAATGACTTAAACAGAGGCAAAAGCTGGCCAAAAATGTCCTATAACTTGGGAAACTTGTAAGGATTCTGAAGGAAATGCAGACAGTTATGTCATCATCTTTCGAATTATATACTGTGTCTCAAATACCACAAGCTACCACAATGTCTGAGTATTTATGCTGTAGATAAAGTGTAACAGTGATGTGTATCCCCTGTATTACATTTCTATTACTTCCTGTGTGATTTTACGTTGATGTTAGGACGTGTGTTGATGTTTTTACATAGATTTTTTGAGGGATGTTAATGTCTTGAAGCTTCGCTTGGTCAGGGTTTACCTCCTGATCATCCACAATATTTGATCAACCTGCACACTCCTGGTCGCATAAATGCCAGTTAATAAAACATTTGATGTATTCCAATGGACTCTATGGAATGCAGTGATAAGTTTAATGATTGATGTCGGTCTGGGATGGGGAGAGGTCCAGAGCACAGCAGACATTCCCTTTGTGATGTAATGTTTTAGTTACTAGCCAGAGCGGCACCTTCACCAAGTTTGTGCATATTCCGAGGTTGAAGTTGAATAAATGATGGTGAAATGATCTTCATTATCAGGATGCTGTATGTCTGACTGTCTGGAGGAGTGTGTACAGTTCTGAGATACAGTGTGCACCACCACTGCCTGTTTTCGGAGCAAAGAACCTGTTTTGCTCCTTATATTCCCAACATTGATCATTGCCAGCAAGAGTCCTGTGCCCAGCCGCTGGGGGGATGTTGGGCACTGTGCCTACTTTCCAAAGAAAATGAAGGCAGATGCAGGAGTTCCAGACCCAGCCACAAGCCCAGGAGTAGAGCAGGCCACTGCAGGGGATAAGAAGTAACCAAATCATAAAAAACTTGCAGCCACAAGTACACTCAAGAGCTGCAGGAGAACCAAAGCTACGTCCCTGCCTTCATTTCCTGGAGGTGAGTGATGTGCACAGTCAACACAGCTCCATATGTCCCAGCACACTGTGATGGAACAATGTCAGATACTGGGGTGGGACCTGAGGGCTACAGGAGTGGGGGACCATCCTGTCCCAGTGGCTGGGACGGTGACAGCTGCTTTGAGCTTTTATGTGACTGGCCTCTTCCAGGGAGTGAAGGGTGACCTGTGTGAGATCTCTTAGTCATGGATCAGGAAAGTGACTGATGGCATCTGTGCAAAGTCACACTGGGTCATTTTGTTCTCCTGTGACAGGGCCAGTGCTGCAGTCTGGGCAGTAAGATTCAGGAATATAGCTGGGTTCCCTCCTAGGAACAAGGTAAGAGAATGAGGTTGTATTTGCGAAGTTATCTTATGAATGCCAGCTATATCCCATAAGCAGCAAGGCTTTGTAGCTGTTGTACTATGACACTGCTTTGGGGCAATGCCGCATTGCCAACAGTTGTCTGGGTGCAGAGCAGCATTCCAAACTTGGCATAGGTGCCAACGAGGCTGGTCTTTTGACATATCTGGTGTGGTGAGTTCTTTTGGGAATGGCAAGTAATAGAGTGGGACTAGGTGAGGGGGCACCATGGGTGTGGGGTAGGTAGCTAATGGGGTGAGTCTGGTAAGATATGGCAAAAAAAACACTGTATAACTTTATAACCCCATGAAGAGGTCAGCATTGCAATCTGGGCAGTAATATTCAGGAATAAAGCTAGATTCACCCAGGTGCAAAGTACCATAGACTGTACAACCATGACACTGAGCCGGGTCATGTCACAACACTGCGGAATTCATCAACAGGAAGTGTTCCTTTTGGTTAATGTCTATGGCATCGTGCACCCTGGGGGAAGCCATCTGAATCCCAAATTCTGAATGTTTCTAAATCCTGCTACTCGGGCTGCTGCACTGTCCTGGTAAGGGGGGAAGAAAAGTTGTGGAGTTTTCTCACTGTATCTTACCAAAGTCACCTCATTAACTATCTATCCCACACCCGTGGCACCCCTCTCACCTGATTCTAGTCCCATCTGAAAGGAATCCTCGGTGAAACTTGCTGTAGCTAACACTGAGCCAAAAAGATGCAAGATTCAGCCCACAGTGTGTGTTCCATCATGTTCTCTGTCTGCATAATATTTCCTGATGCTCTATAATAAACCATCTTTCTGCTGGCAGGTTATTGTGGTACCATGATGATTGAAGATGAGGAGTCACCTATTTCTCTGACACTGGATGACACCGAGCCTGATGGCTCCCACCCTGCAATTATGGGGTACGGTTCACAGAGCTGAAGAAAAGTGCGCCACAAATATATTGTTTTAAAAAGATCAAAATTAACACGAAGAAATCTTGAAAAGTAACTGGAGGAGACTTAGACTCACCACAAACTTGTGGGCACCTTGCTTCACTTAAATAGAACATCTGAACCACCGTCCTGCATGCTAACCTCCTGAATTCGTTGATTGCTTACCTGCAATATTTTCTGTTTCTAAGTCTTATTCGCGCTCTTTGATTTCTTTGCATTCGCAGCCATAGAAAAACGCTTATATTTGGGAAACCCTGCTGGGACATGTGTTATAACAAGGTGTAGAGCTGGATGAACACAGCAGGCCAAGCAGCATCAGAGGAGCAGGAAGGCTGACGTTTCGGCCTGCTCCTCTGATGATTCTTTACCTGCTGTGTTCATCCAGCTCTACACCTTGTTATCTCAGATTCTCCAGCATCTGCAGTTCCTACTATCTCTGGGGCATGTGTTATTCTGTTTGCCAGCTTTATGGCATCATACTGTTCCCTACTACAATGGTGTGAGGTGTTCGAGACCTGAGACAAGATAATGAATTGCTTATCAATTACATTCTTTAGTGAAGCAACTTTAAAACCTTCCTCATTGACATTTCAGCCACCTTTGATCTCTGTCTTTTTAGAAAATATATTATGCCTACACTTCAACTGTAATATTTTTCCAAATCTTGAATTGTGATAAACACTGAATAATATTCATGTGCTATGGATCAATGGATTGTGTTACCAGTAATTAGACAATCCACGGTATAACTGAGTACTGTTATTTGTTTCTAGGTTTATATTGGCAAGGAAGGCTCGACTTTTACTTAGTCTCACTAAAGCAGAGAGGTGGGTATTGTGATGTTTGGCTGATGGTATGTGAGCTGATCTGTGATAGTTTTAAAACTACCTGACACGTGAAAGTGAGAGTGTGTTCTCAATGTACCTGCAATGCGTCTAACATGGAAATATCTTCATAAATGTGTATTCTCAGCACCCCTTAGCTCCTTTAACAAGGCTGCTGTATTTAAATAGAACTCACATTCAAAGTCAGATATGGGGAACAGTAAACATCATGGATACTTCAAGCCTTTTGCTTCAAACACTTTCCCTATATGGCTGCAAGTTTACACTGGTTATATCTTCACATTGGGCAGAGTTAATTCTGTGAATGAAGAAGTGGTGAAATGAGTAGGCAGTATGGTGTCTCAGTGGTTAGTGCTACTGCCTCTCAGCACCAGAAGCCTGGGTTCGATTCCACTCTCGGGTGACTGTCTGTGTGGAGTTTGCACATTCTCCCCATATCTGTGTGGGTTTCCGCCAGGTGCTCCAGTTTCCTCCCACAGTCCAAAGATATGCAGGTTAGGTGGATTGGCCATGCTAAATTGCTCATAATGTCAGGCTAGGTGGGTTAGCCATGGGAAATGCAGGATTGCAGGGATAGGGTGGGGGGGGGGGTCTGGGTGGGATGCTCTTCAGAAGATTGATGTGGACTCATTGGGCCAAATGGCCTGCTTCCCCACTGTAGGGATTCTATGAATTGACCCATGGATAATCGTGGGATGAACAGTTGAAGAGTTGCTCCATGAAACTTGAAGTTAATCACTGACTGGTTTCAGTATAGTAGGAGGCTATTCAGCCCATTGTGCCTTCAGCCAATTTTCTGGAAGAGCTTTCACCTTACTGCAGTTGGCTGAGTAGTTGATTTGCAACATAGAGGGACGCCAACAGTACAGGTTTAATTCCTGCCCCAACTGAGGTTGCTGTGATGGGCTCTCCTTCTTGACCTCTCCCTTCACCCTGAGGCATGGTGATCCTCAGGTTAAAGCACCACCAGTTGTCTCTTTCTAACGAGAGAGCAGCGCCATGGTCTGGTAAAACTCTGGTCACTTCACTCAGCTGGTTGTAGCAACCTCTACCCTGAATTTTTTTTCTCTTCAGATAATTATCCAATGTCCTATTGTAAACCCACAATCGAATCCCACCATACCTTCAGGCAGTGCCTTCCAGATCCTGATTATTAGCTATATAGAAAAGATTTCCTTCATGTTATCTTTGGTTTGCTTTAATTACTGTCTTCAGACACTTCATGATTTTGTATCTCTTAATTAAATTTCCTCTCAACCTCCTCTAAGGAAAACAGCTTCAGCTTCTCCATGTATCGATGAACTGAAATCCCTCTTTACTGGAACCATTCTTAGAAATCTTTTCTGCATTCTCTCAACATGCTTTCACAGCCTTCCGAAAGAGTGGTCCTTTAAATAGGACATGATAGCTCCATTGAGGCTGAACCAGTGCTTTATAAAGGTTCACAATAACGTCCTTGCTTTTATATTCTACACCATTCTTAATAGACCCTAAGATTTATCTTTTTAACTGTTTTTTCAACTGACAATGATTTATGCACGTAAACTCCAGGTCCCTCTGTGCCATCCCTGTGTACCCACTTTAGAATTGCACCCTTTATTTTACATCTACTCTCATTCTTCTCACCGAAATGTAACACCACAATTCTCTGCATTCAATTCCATCTGCCACATGTCTGCCTATTCCACAAATGCCGTATCATCTTGAAGACTATCACTATCCCCTTAGAGTTCACAATGCTTGAATATTTTGTGTCACTTGAAAATTTTGAAATTGTGCCCCATGCACCTAAGTTTAGGTCATTAATACAGATCGAGAAAAACTGGACTCCTAATACAACCCTTGGAAACACTACAATAAACTTTTTTCCTGTCCGAACAACAACTGTTCACTTTTGATCTCTGTTTCTGGCCACTCAGCCAAATTCATGGAAATAACAAACAAGTGTGATGAAAAGTAGAGTGCTGAACCAGTCTTATCCATTTAGCACCATCTCCCAAAGTCAAGGTCTCAATAATTGGTAGAGAAATCCAGCAGGTCTGGCAACATCTGTGTAGAGAAAGCAGAGTTAACAGCTTGGGTCCAGTGATTCTCCTTCAGAATCCTGAGTTTTTTCCAGCAACTTCTATATTATTATTTATTCCCAGCATCTGCAGTTCTTTTTTTTAAATTAAGAATCTACCTACCTCTGCCTTAAAAATCTTCAATGATGAGGTTGTTGACTTGCTCGCCAAACTGGCTTGTTCTCATTCAGACATTTTGCCACCATGCTAGGTGACATTTCTGAAGAAGGGTCCTGACCCGAAATGTCAACTTTCCTGCTCCTCAGATGCTGCCTGGCCTGCTGTGTTCCTCTAGCTCAACACTGTGTTATCTCTGACTCCAACATCTGCAGTTCTTGCTATCTCTGAGTGAGTTATAACCCCACTGCGAAGCCGTTCCAAGGATGCCCACCTTGAAGAAGTTGTCCTCCTCTCAGTCCATTTCTGAAGAAGGGTCCCGACGTCAACTTTCCTGTTCCTCTGATGCTGCCTGGCCTGCTGTGTTCCTCCAGCTCCACACTGTTGAATCATACAAGATTCTTGACAGGGTCTTCACAGGGTGGATGCTAAAATGGTGTTTCTCCTTATGGGAGAGCCTATGGCCAGAGGGCATAATCTCAGAAAAAAGGTTTATCCATTTATCGCAAAGCTGAAGAGGAACTTTTGTTTTCTTATAGAATAGTGAGTCTGTGGAATTTTTTACAGCAGAGGTCTTTAGAGGCTGGGTCATTAATTATATCCAAGGCTGAGATGAACAGGGATCAGTGGTTATAAGGACAAGGCAAGAAAGTTAAGTTGATGATGATGAAATCAGCCATGATTTTATTGAATGGCAGAGCAGACTCGATGGACCGAATAGCTTGCTATTGCTCCTGTATCTTACAGTCTTGTCAATTTTTGTACTTTGTTTTGAATGTCTATGGTTTTGAAATGGACGCAAATGAGGTTAAAAAGAAGAGTTTTCTATTTAAGCAGTAGCGGTAATATCATAGTCCTACTGGACTGTAGGCATTAGAGAGAGATGACTGGCGGTGTCTTAGCCTTGGGGCCACCATATCTCAAGTAGGGGGGTGGGGCTGAAGATTGAGAAGGACAGTCCTTCACGGTAGCATCCGCCAGCATAGGAATTGAATCCATCTATTAACATTATGCTGTATCACAAACTGGCTGCCCAGCCAACTTGTCTAATCAACCCCCGTTTAGGCAGCCCTTAATACTGAAAGCAGACAGCATTTTATCTTCAATGAGGTTAACAACCATGAATAAATAGCTTCTGAATAAGAGGGGCACTATCCTATAGCCTTGTTTTACACCATCTGGATTTTGACGGTCTTTGCTTCAGATCTCATACTGAAGACAGCTGCAGTCATATCAGCACCAAGCTGTTATAGGATTGTGAACTTTTTGAACTTCCAAATCTTGGAGAAAAATTGACAGAGTCTTTCAATTTACTGAATTAACTTCATTGTTCAGGACAATGAATGAAATGAAGAGTTCCTGGTGCTCTTTTCGACACTTTCCTCAGATCAGTCTTGCAACGAAAGTCATGTCAGAGTTTCCTTTCAAAAGTCTAAAGCTGCAATCTGTCTCTGGCAGAGTTTCCCCAGCCATAGGAAGTAAGGGATTCAGGAGAATGCAGGTCAGAACACCTCCATTGTTTCCCCAATATTTTATATTCTCCCTTTCTGAAGACAATTGCAATTGTCGTGTTCCTGAAGTCAGTGGGAGTGCCTTTTTCTTTCAAATCTGCAGGACGGGTCAATAATGAGAGTAAAGGATCACCAGCTTTGAAGATCTCAGCTAAAACACTACCAGGGCTTCTGACTTTGTTATTTTTCATCCAGCTGTGGGACTGAGACATTGAACTTCCTCCTGTTGGACTTTTTGCATCTTGTGATGTATTTGTGACAGATAGATGTTCATTTTTGATCGAACAATTATAATGTGTCAAGATCATAATTTAGGAGATGCCAGTGATTTGACCTAGGGTGATTTCTACTATGACCAGACCCTGGGCAAGGTTGCCCAAGTTATACTTGTTCTAAATGGACACCCCAAATTGTTAAGCTTCCAGTGAGGAAGGATGAAATGGCTCCCATTCCTGATTCAGCTATGTCCTTGGCTAGTCAGAACAAGCTTAGTTTAAAACAAAATCCCTCCCTGGTGGATCCTTTCCTCCCACTAAATGATTTTCTGCTTTAAAATGAGCCTACTTAACAAGATTTTACCTGCAATGCAGGGATTAGCTAGTCTCTAGTCTTTGACTGTGACCATCACAGCACACTAGTACTTAATCCAGGCTGGTACACAAGGCTACCTCGGTGTTCTCGCTCACTTTCTTCTATAAACATACACAAACCAAAGTTGAAGTTGTTTTTTTTATTTTTTTTGTACATTTCTATTATGTTCTCTCTCTGAAGTTTTTCCTGCAACTGCTGCTTTGGGGTTCTGATCCATTGTCATGCTATTTCATGCAGTTTTGAGTTTGTCCTGCTAATGGCAGACAGTGTTTGGTATAATGAGGTCATGCTGACTTCACTTTGTCAGCAAGAGATCTCAATTTACATCGGCTTTAGCTGTCATTTTTCCCAGTGCCCCCTCTCTATAATATCAGAGTCGTGATTAACTCTGGCACTAACATGCCAAGAAGGATGATTCTTTGTTCTTCTTCTGGCATGCCAGTGAGGAGTTAAGCAAAGTTAAAGAAGAACTTTTCCTTAAAATTTTCATTTGAGCCAAGTGTTAGGGCATTAGCGCTTGTGGCTGTGGCTCTCTGATTGTGGCTCAGCTTGAGATGTAGTGACATGAGTTGTTTCATTTATGTAATTGGGGTGTATATCCACCATCCTGTTTCAGTTGGCAAAACCAACTGTGTGACCAGGAGAGTCACTGTCAGTCTTGCCTTTGTGGTAGAAGGTGTATGTCCTGCTTTTTCCTTCAGCTGCCTGTCTCCAGGAAGACCATCTCCCTGAGGGCAGCAATGTCAATTTGGACTCTATAGATGGTTGACATGAAATAATTGTGGTTCTTCTTTCCAGACAGTCCCCCTTGAGATTATCCAATGAGTTTTCTAACATTCCAAGTTGTAAAGTTGAAGTTTTCTCCCTTTAACCATGAAGATAGTGATTCCGCAGGGTGGTGTTCACCAGCTAAGAGAAAGTGGGACAGCCAATTTTTAGGACACCTTTCCCAGCCCCTTCATCATTTACGGTGAGCAGCGAGTATCCTGAAGAGTCATAGAGCCATAGAATAATACAGCATGGAAACAGGCCCTTTGGCCCAAACTGATCCATGCTGACCGTGGTGCCTAGTCAGCTAGTTCCAATTGCCTCCATTTTGTCCATATCCCTGTAAACCCTTCCCATCCATGTACCTAGTCAAATGTTGTTTTAAATGTTGCTATTGTACCTGCCTCAGCCATTTTCTCTGGCAGCCCATTCCACATACGCACCACTCTCTGCGTGAAGAAGTTGCCCCTCAAGTCCTTCTTAAATCTTGCCCCTCCCTCCTTAAACCTATGCCCTCTAATTTTCAATTCCCCATCCCTAGGAAAAAAACTATATGCATTCATCCTATCTATGCTCTTCATGATTTTATACACCTCAAAAAGGTCACCCCTCATTCTCCTACGTTCCAAGGAATAAAGTCCTATCCTGGCCAACCTCTCCCTATAACTCAGGTCTACTAGTCCTGGCAACATCCTCGTAAATCTTCTTTCCACGCTTTCTAGTTTAACTATGTCTTTACTATAACAGGGTGACCAAAACTGTACTCAATACTCCAAGTGCAGCCTTACCAATGACTTATACAACTGTAACATAACATCCCAACTCCTATACGCAATGCCTTGACCAATGAAGGCCAGTATGCTAAATGCTTTCTTCACCAACCTGTCTACCTGTGATGCTGCTTTCAACGAACTATGTACTTGTACTCCTAGGTTCCTCTGTTCCACAACACTCCTCAGGACCTTACCATTTACTGTATAAGTCCTACGTTGGTTTGACTTTCCAAAGTGCAAAACCTCACACTTATCTATATTGAATTGCATTTGCCAATCCTTAGCCCACTATCCCATCTGATCAAAATCCCTCTGTAACTTTTGATAACCTTCCTCGCTATCAACAATACTTCCTAATTTTTTATCATCCGCAAACTTACTAATCATGCCTTGTACATTCACATCCAGATCATTTATGTAAATAACAAAGGTCCCAGCATCGAGCCCTATGGCACACTGCTAGCCACAGGCCTCCAGCCCAAGAAACAACCTTCAACCATCACCCTCTGCTTCCTACCATCGAGCCAATTTTGAATCCAATTAGCTAGCTCTCCCTGAATCCTATGCGACCTAACCTTCACGATTAGACTACCGTGCAGGACCTTGTCAAAGGCTCTACTAAAGTCCATACAGACAACATCCACTGCCCTACCCTCATCTATCCTCTTGGTTACCTCTTTGAAAAACTCTAAAAGACGTTTTAGACATGACTTCCCGCACACAAATCCATGCTGACTATCCGAACTCAGACCTTGATTATCCAAACGTTGGTTGATCCTGTCCCTCAGTATCTTCTTCAATAACTTGCCTATGGGATTTATCCACCTTAATGTGCTTTAAGGCTGTGAATGGCTCCTCTCTGGTAATATGTATGAGGTCCAAAATATAGAAACATAGAAGATAGGAGCAGGAGGAGGCCATTTGGCCCTTCGAGCCTGCTCCGCCATTCTTCATGATCGTGGCTGATCATCCAACTCAATAGCCTAATCCTGCTTTCTCCCATAAATTTTGATCCCATTTACCCCAAGTGCTATAACTAGTCGCCTCTTGAATACATTCAATGCTTTGGCATCAACTACTTCCTGTGGTAATGAATTCCACAGGCTCACCACTCTTTGGGTGAAGAAATGTCTCCTCATCTTCATCCTAAGTGGTCTACCCCGAATCCTTAGACTGTGACCCATGGTTCCGGACACACCCACCATCAGGAACATCCTCCCTTCATCTACTCTGTCCAGTCCTGTTAGAATTTTATAAGTCTCTATGAGATCTCCCACATTCATCTGAACTCCAGCAAAAACAATCCCAACCTAGTCAATCTCTCCTCATATGCCAGACCCGCCATCCCTGGAATCAGCCTAGTAAATCTTCACTGTACTCCCTCGAGAGCAAGAGCATTCTTCCTCAGAAAAGGAGACCAAAACTACACACAATATTCCAGGTGTGGACTTGTTTCCCTTATTTCCTTAGCATCCATGATTCTTTTCTCAGTAAACACTGAGGAGAAATATTCATTAAAAATCTCCATGATCTCCTGTGGCTCCATGCATAGACAGTCATGCTCATCTTTAAGGGGACCTATTCTCTCCCTAGCCACCCTTTTACTCTTAATGTAGTTATACAACCTCTTGGGATTATCTTTAACCTTTTCTGCCAGATCCATCTCAGGACTGCTCAGTCATGGATGCTGCTGTCTGAAGGCACCGCTGTCCCAATGCAGGTGCCCCATGACCATTAAAAATCTGACGCCATCGTACAGATTCTTACTAGAGACTCTCAGGTTCACAAACATGTCCTTGTCACCAATTCTCCATTACCATGGGACTTGGCAGAGCCCAGTGGAAGTGTGTGCAAGGAATCATTTAACTCGTCTGCTATCATGGTCCTCATGATCTCTACAGGTTGGTAATCAGATTTCAGTGACCGGGACTACCTTGTTGCTGCATCCTTCTTCCACCTTCGCAGCTGGTGAAATGTCCACAATTTCTTTACCCTCAGCCATTCGAGACTTTTGAACCGCCTTTGTCTGTCAGTACCCCCTGACCTTGCTGCTATGGATGTCCTTCCCAGGTGCAAGGACTTCCAACAACACTGGCTGAAGGATCATTGAAACACACAAACCTTTCTCAAAATCATGGTGCTGACCAACAGAGGAAAGAAATTTCAGTGTCTTATTGTTACTGAGAAACATTTTCGAAGAAATAAATTGCAAAGGATCTGTAAGATTTTTATAGTTGTAATTTCATTAATATTTTTCAATATCCAAATTACAGTTTTCTAGTGAATATTATTGGTGCAAATGTTGTTGCACCTTTGTTGAATTACATAGAATCTATGTGCAATGTCGTTGTTTTTCCCATTTATCTTTCCTTTCTCCCTCATATATACATTCAATCCTCCCTTAATTAGTACAGCTCCCGAAGTGGCAACGAGTTCTATACCCCCCATCAATGCCTGTGTAAGAGGAATAGAGCTTAATCTGCAGCTAATCCAAAATACTTCTGTGTGGTACAGCATGTGACAGCACAGTATAAAGCGCAGCATTAGTTGTGTTACCATGCAAGAGGATACGTTAGCAATGTTGGCTATGTTAGTGTTGGCCACATTTCTGGAGGAGATTGAATAAAATCTCGTTTTTTCAGGAAACAACGAATCTGCCAGATTTATGCACGAGTTCTGGAGACAGAGGAAGCTCTATACGTAAGCACCTTTTGATAGAAGACACCTCAAAAATCAATAATCTTGCATTTGTAGTGGGATTGAAGTAATGGTATAAAAATGTATCTAACCTAATGCCCATGCCTTCAATAATTTGGGCAAGCTCCAGAAAACTTGGAAACAAATGTTTGTTGTACTCATTGGCTGGGTCAGGAAAGTGCCAGGAAGTATGGTAGGGGAGGAGAGGAGAAAGACGTAATTGCAATTGGTGGCATCCTTCAGGGTATTACCTCCCTGCTCCTGATTCCTTTTAAATTGCTTTTAAATGTACTTACTACTTGCAGAGTGATTCTGTCATTTCGCCTCTCATGAATTGGAAGAGAGAAAGAAGTATGTCAACTTTGTTGTGTGCAATGTACCGTTATGAAAGGGAAGGCTCTGAGATGCTGAAAGTGAGAGGGTCGCTTTTTCTCCTGTTATCTCTCGAATACACTGACCTGTGTAGCCAATCATTTTGACTGAGTCTAGAGCAGTAAGTGTTGACAGACTATTAGGTTAGTAAATGTGATGCCTAAGGTTCTCTCTGGCCACTCCTGAAATTTACAAACATCCCATGTCACTATTTGAAGAAGAGCAAGGAATACTCTCCTCTCCCTTAACAAATGTCATGACAGAACAGATTAACTGGTCAATCAATATTGTTAGTGGGATGTTTGCAATGCAGAATTGCTGGGGCAATTAGGTATGAGGAATACATTCTGGCCTACTCAAAGATGCTCCCATTCCATGAGAAAGTATAATCTCAGTAAAAATTGAGACCTTCTGGAGCTCTGAGTGTAATGTTGTATAGTTCATATTGGTGATTTCTACTTGTGCTGCAGTGGAAACTGAGAAATCAAATCAGATGACACATCATGGTCTAGTCCTCAAATGCTCTTGTGGTGTTGACCCACCTCTTCTGTGCTGAAGGACAATGGTATCAGGATTTCTGGCAGACTTGCCAATGTATCAGGTATTTCAGTGTATAGCCATCTGCCTCAGTCTATATGCCACCCCAGTGAAATGAGCCTTTATTTGAACCTTCTGCAGCAGAATGCGTATATGACCTCAGACTTCTGGAGTTGCTGTCCTTTCCTCTGACTTAGTTGTAGTCCATTTGAGCCTGATTATTCACCAGTATGAAACTTGTGCAATGGACAGAGGTTAAGTTTTCTTCCCACACCCTGTGCCCGCTTTTGGGAGCTGTCCATTGATGCCCTCTTTGAGCAGAAATCTCAGAAAATTGACAATAGTTAACAAATAAACGATGCATAACTAGTGATAACATTTTATGGAATTATTACTTTAACATTGAAACACAAACCTTTCCTGTTCCCAGGCTGTTCACTATGAAGAAAAAGACTGGTGTGAGGAGCAGTACTCGGGTGGCTGCTACACTGCATACTTCCCACCAGGGATGTTCATTCAGTTTGGCAAGTACGTACCTATGCATAATCAATCTAGATTCCTGCCAAATAATGTTGTAGTTTTGTTTTAAGAGTGATGCCCATTTAAGAAATCCAACATGCCAGTGAGCCTGTACCTGGATGTCATCATGTGACTAGAGGCCACTGTCATTCTGCACTGTAGCACTCAGGTTGCAGGCTATGTCTAGACATGACTGTGTCAAGCTCATGCAGTATCCACCAATGCTCTCGATGCCTTTAGAGAATGGTGGGCATCGCTGGGAATACACTGCTTTATTGTCCCCTCCAATTCCAATTTGATTGAGTCTCTTCCTGCTTTCCCTAACCCTCCCTTGCTTCTGAAGGTTTGCATTGCTCACAAAGGGATTTACACGTAAATATTTAATTCACTGCATGAGTGATTTACTGATGGCAGTCAGTAGTTGGAAGAAGGCCATGGTAATTTGGTGGTGGGTTTAAGATTCAGTTGTGCATGGTAACACATAGAGATACTAAAAAAAAGACTGTGTAAAGTGTGTGCTAGTTTATTTTTGAATAAACTCACCAGAGATCTTCAAGTAAACAGAATTCAGGTACCTATGTGCATTACCTTTAGATAGTACAAGAATATCACTACACATAGCAAATTATGTTACTTGCTGAATTTTGTTTTTAGTCACGCAAGGGATATGGATGTTGCTGGCTGGCCGGCATTTATTGCCCATCCCTAGTTGCCCTTGAGAAGATGGTGGTGAGCTGCCTTCTTGAACTGCTGCAGTCCATGTCCTCTGGGCAGACCCACAATGCTCTTAGGGAGGAAACTCTATGATTTTGACCCAACAACTATGAAGAAACAGTAATATATTTCCAAGTCAGGATGGTAAGTGGCTTGGAGGGGAACTTGCAAGTGGTGGTGTTCCCATGGATCTGTTTCTCTTGTCCTTCTAGACAGAAGTGGTCATGGGTTTGGAAGGTGCTGTCTGAGGATCTTTGGTGAATTTCTGCAGTGCATCTTGTAGACTATACATACTGCTACCACTGATCGCTGGTGGTGGAAGCAGTGGATACTTGTGGATGTAGTGTCAATCAAGTGGTCTGCTTTGTCCTGCATGGTGTTGTTGGAGATGCACCTATCCAGGCAAGTGGGGAGTACTCCATCATGCTCCTGACTTGTGCCTTGTAAGATTGTAACAGACTTTAGGGAGTCAGGAGATGAGTTACTCACCACAGTATTCCTAGCTTCTGACCATGCTCTTGTAGCCATTGTATTTATATGGCAAGCCGAGTTGAGTTTTTGGTAAATAGTAATGTATTGTCAGGCTGAAAGTACCTAATGGATTCTTTAAGTCTGATCAACGTGATTACAAGAAGACAGATGCACATTGATACAGCGAGCAAATTTATTAGTTTAATCTAATTTAGATATATGCAAACTAATGATTGAAGCCATTAGCTTAAACTAATTTAGACATATTTAGACATAGACATATGCCTTCTGCCCATCAGGGTCTCCAGGGTGACGGCTGGCACTTGGGATCTCTTTCTTAGGTTCCACGGCACCAATCCTCAAACCCTAGCCAAATGGTGAAGATTCATGACCTCGTAGTCAAGAACATGGCCCAGTGGGGACAGTCTTAGTCTCACAAACCCCAGTCCGATAGGGAAAAGTCCACAGTATCAGTCCTCGAACGCCAGTCTACTGGGGAAGGCCCATGGCCCCGGTCTCACAAACCCAGTCCGATGGGTTCTGGTTACGTGCTGTATCACTATTTCCTAGTACTTTCAGTACATTTCCAGACATTCCATTGTGCAGAACATAAGTTGAATACATCTCCAGCTAGCTCTATGTTAGCTGTATTAAAAAATTGCTTTCGACAG